TCCAGGAGACAAATGCCCAAACTGGGATCAACTTGCAAAACCCTGAAGCATCTGGAACAGTAAATTATTGGGACAGCACAAGTGGCTCTATTGATGTGAGCAGATTTACGGGGACGTAAATAACTGCAAATATGTCAGGAGCGCTCACAAAGACCTTATAGAAGGGTGAGTACCAAAGACAAGGATAACAGAAAAACTCTCAGGAAGGACTGAGCAGCCGTATTTCTTGCAGGGTCTCCTTCACACTGGCTACACAACAGAATTCAAATGAAACTCCTAAATAAGGACTCCCAAAGGACAGTCATTAAAAACTTCTCCAGAAAAAAAAGAAAGATGGGAAAGAAGAATACCCCAGGAGAGGGCAAGGTGATCTAGGGGAGTAATTATACTATAGGAGGAGAATTCATAGCCAGAAAATGCAGTTCTCAGTGACATAACCAAGAAGGAAGACATTAACCATTCTGGAAGCCAACAGAGATCCACTCGGTCTGTGTTCAAACCTGCAAACCATGAAGCCCGTTCTCAAAACCAGCTCTGATTCATACACAGTTGAAGGCTTGGTTATTTCCACAGGAATATCTTAGGAGCTGTCAGCACACTGTAAGCAGAGAGCAGGTGTGAGTTGAACAAGATGAATGAGGTTTTTCCTTTCTGGAACTTATAACACAGAAATGAGATTTTCTCAGGCAAAAATTGCTTTAAAAAAAAAGGCAAATTTACCTGCTTGGAACTTGCTATGAGAAAGCGTGGGGAAACTAAAAGGTAGCAACAGATAGTAGCAAGATCGGGCACTGGAAGTACAAAATCTGAGATAAAGAACCCCACAATTTTGCTGTCGAACTCTATCTAATAAAGGAACAAAAGATTGCTGGTGAGTGGCTCCAGAAAACATCGCTATCTCCAAAATTGGCATCCATAAAACAATCAGTGTTTGTAATCATATATATATATATATATATATATCTTGTTTCCCCTCCTGGTTGTCTCCTCTCCCTCGTCCCAGTTGTTCTTTCCTTTCGAGCAGTTTCATTCCCTTTCATAATATTCATTGTACTTTTCAGATCTTATTCAATTTTTCAGTTTCTTGCATAACAGAAACCATACAGTGTTTACACATGTGAGTCTGATTAATTCACTTATGATTGTGGTCTCTGGTTGCATCCATTTACCTAGAAAAGCTTCGGTTCAATCTTCTTTAATAGCTCAGTAGTACCCCATTATATAAAAATACCACATCTTTTTTTTTTCTTGTCTTTTTCTTTTTTTTTTTTTTTTATCGGTACCAGGGATCGAACTCAGGACCCCCCTGCTTGCAAGGCAGGTGCTTATGCTGCTGAGCTAAATCCCCAGCCCCCAAAAGACCACATCTTTTTTAACCATTCCTCAGTTGATGAGCATTTAGGTTGTTTCCAAGAGTTAGCTACTACAAACTGTGCTGTTATAAACATGCGTTGCTGTGCTATGATCTTAATTCTTCTGGAAAAATACCCAGAAGAGGAATAGTGGAATCAAATGGAACTCCTAATACTAGTTTTTTTGAGGCATCTCCACACTGATTTCCACAGTGGTTGCACCAATCTACACACCCTGCAATAGTAAAGAAGGTCTCCTTTTCCCCACAGTCCTGCCAGCATTTGTTACTGCTTGATTTTACTATGTTAGCCATTCTTTCTGGTGTGAGATGAAATCTCAGTGTTATTTTAATTTGAAATTGTCAAGTGACTAATGATGCTATACATTTTTCATATATTTCTTTTTTTATTTTTTCATCTAAAAATTGTGCATTCCTCTCAAAGCCCATTTTTAGATTGGTCTTTGAGTTTGAGGGATTTGATATTTTTCAGTTCTTTGTTTTATATAGAAGTCCTTTGTCTGAGGGACACTTGGCTACTATCTTTTCCCACTCTGTGGGGTTTCTTTTCACTTGGTGATTTTTTTGATGTGCAAAAGCTATTTAATAAGATGAAATCCCAGTTGTTGATTCATTCAAGTACTTTAATTGATTATAAATTGAACATAATGAGAGAGTATATGAACTGAATATTACTAGCAATATGATATGCAAGAGGTGTCCTCACCTTAATCTGAAGTCTGATTTGCCTTATCTGCTTCCCAGTGTTCCATGTAAAGGTGCCACAATCAGAGGCTGCCTTGAAGACAGAAGTCAAGACCTGGCTCTTAACCTCTTACTCCTTAAAAGCATGATATCACTTTCTTTTGTGGGAGTCAGGGACCTAGAAGCTGACCCTGCAGATGCCCAGTACATTGCATAGCAGGATGAGGCTCGGCATCTCTGCTTTCATTTTATCCCTCACTTTTTTTAACCTTTAATCTTCGGAACAAAGATTTGTTCATCTCTGCTCATTCTCTAGGAGTCTGTCTCACGATATTTACTTGCCCTAGATTTATCCAGCCTATCTCATATCCCTTCCATACTGAGGAATTCTCAGGAACATCCCATAATCATACACTTTTCTAATGTCCAGCTGCCGATCCACTTGGAGCAAGGTCTAGAAATGTGCAGTCCTTGCCCTAACACTGAAATCACCTGGTGTTCCAAGAAAAGCAAAGCCTGACAGGACACCCATGATGAGGTCTTTTTCAAGCAAGAGCCATCATCTCAGGGAATCAAGCTCCCCCCAGGCCACCAAGATTCCTCCAGAGCTATGAACCTGAAGTGAGATGATGACCAGGCACACTCAGCCCTATAAAACTGGTCCATCCTTCTGTGATGGGGCCAGTCTCGTCCACTTCATCCTACCCCTGCCTCCTTCAGTTCCTCATTCTGAATCCGCTCTCCTGTTTTCTCTTCTTTTCTTGTATTAAAGTGTCTTCCTGACCTCTGTCAGAAGAATGACCCTCTTCATTTTCCCTTACTTTCCAATGAAAGCTTTTTCCTGCAAATTTGTGGATTCAGCTTTAATTTTGATGATCAAAAAAGCAAAGACCCGTGCTACATAGTGATAGAGGGGCCATGTTGCTTATGCTGTGGTCAGTGAGGCCAGTGGGCATGAAGCAGCAGGCCTTAGTTCAGTGGAGGCCAGTCAGCAAAATAAGAGCCAGAGTGAAGACCAGTCCAGGAATTCAACCTCAGTTTGAAGGTAGATTTCAGTAGACATCTGCCCTGCTGAGGAGGGAAAGCAGTCCTTGACTCCACCCACCAACGTCATCTCTGCTGTTCCCAGGCTCCCTGAGGCTGGGAGAAATTCCTGTTGAAGGGTGGCAGCAAAGGTGACTGTCCTGGCAGAGAGGCATCCCAGTCTGTGTACCTGAGGGACTGATTTGCAGGAATAGATCTCCCCCTGGAAATGGAGCCTGGCAGTGAGACGCCAACTGAATCTTAAGTCAGCAGACAGTTCTAGAACCAGGACTATTAATTTCCCATATAAATGCTTGAGAAGAAACTTTTCTGCCTGGGTAAGTCAAATACCAAAGTCGACATTCAGAGAAACACTGTGGAATCATAAGCATGAAGCAGACAAAGGGTGGAAAGGGCCCCTGTGCCCCACTGCAAACTGTAAAACCTCATCCAATTTTCTGTAATGTTTGTTGCTCCTCCTCAGACCTGGAGAAGTGAGGCAGGCTGACCACCGTGTCCCTGACAGTCTTCCACAGTCCACATGGAGGGCGTGTTTGCCTGACACCCTGGAGTGAGGGTCTGAGGACACATATGGCGGCTTCTCAGGCCCTGCTGTCCCTGGCCCTGCCCTGTCCCTGCAGCTCTACGCAGAAGGAAATAGTCCCCGCTGGGTTGAGATCCCTCCCCTTCTCCACTCCTCTTTCATTACCAAGGATGATAGCTTTCAGCATGAAATTAAGGTAAATTGTCCAGGTGAGTCAGGCAGTGTGGGAAAGGAAAGCTTCAGGGAGAAAGTGGACAGGTGGAGTGAGACAGTGTAGCTGGGAAGGACAAACACAGGTGCAAAAGCAAATCAGTGCTGGTTATAACAGGGAGAGGTGAATTAACTTTCGCTGATGGAACTTCTTTGCCTTAAATTATTTCTCTCTTCTCCCTCCTTATTCATTAAAAAGACACTAGGGAAGATGAAGAAAAAAGAAAGGAAGAAAGAAAAAAGTTAGCTCAAGAATGAGGGCGGAGGGAGAGATGAAGGAACGATCATCTTCTATTACTTTCAGTCTCCTTACTAAAGAGAGTGTGATTTATTTAATAGGAATCCTGCAGGTCATTAGAAAATTGTCTTGTCTTGTTCCAGATGTTTCATTTTCCCTGGAGTGTCACCCAGAAGGACACAATGTATAATAAAGAGACGAACTATGAAGGGAACGGAGAGAAACGGAGAGAAATAAATTAAAAATTATTTTAATGTAAAAGGTACAGTGATTCTTTCACTTGACACAGATAAGCTAAATATCAAAAGTAGTCTCTTATCTCCCTGCTGGGTTAATGGTCTATGTAAAATGCAAATATTACTTCTGTTTCATAAGATTGTTTATCACAGTGCAGCGGTAACTTCCTAGACGTAGGGATTGGGTCTCTCTACTCTGACTTGGTACCCAATCCATTCAAGCAATAATTTTAGAAAGCAAAAGATACATCGTGAATATATTTTGACCTCTACTTTCCTTGGTGGACTCAAGGGAGCAAAGTTACGTAGGTTGCACTGGATCTGAGGTTTTCCAAGGAATTAAAGGCACAAGAATCCATTTTAGTAAGGTTAGGTCAGAAAACAGGAATTTAATAGATTTTTACATTCTTTTTCTTTTTTTCTCCCTTTCCATAAAGGTTTGACTTTTAAGCAAACTGTCCACTTAGAAAATGAGAAAGAAATATAGTTGATTTTAACATCCTGAACACTCAGTCCTGAAATTTTGCGTATTCTTTTGGCAAAGAGAAGGCACTAAACACTGAGAGTGCTTCCTAATGAAACAACCAAAAGCTGATAAAAACATAAGCACCGGACATCAGGAGCTTGAGCTTTGCAGCAGCCCGTTATGCTGCTGTCTGCACCATATGGAAATATCCAGAAGAAACCTCAAAGTTCAGTAAATCAGCATTTATTGAAGACGCCAACTTGAGCAGGTTCCCCTTGCCCCGCGTCCCCCAAACCTCCAAAATACAAACATGCGTGGTGTTTGGAAGTGCAAACCCGGAATACAAAGGGAACAGAGAAAATATAACAGACAAATCAGGAGAGTAAGCAAACAAACAAAAAATAGAAGATTTGAGTGGTGGAAAAGAGGGCAGAAGAAGCCAAACAGTACCGGATTTATTCCATGGCCAGTCCAGCCCCTGGATAGCCACATCGCCCTGGCTGGAATCATTCTGCAAACAGCACTGCTCACTTCAGGGGGAGCCAGTGCTGAGAACCCCTGAGGCTCCTCCAGCTCTGTCCAGGGTCATGGCAGCCAGCTGAGACTCCTCACCCCATGCTTCCCTGCTCGTCACGTGATTCGGGCTCAGCCAATCAGTGTGCATTCTCCCATTGATGGTTTGAAGCATTGCAGGTACAGAAACGTGTTCATGGATGGGTTTGTGACTGACCTGGCAGGGCAGAGGGCTTGGCCTAGGAGGAATATACATGCTGATATAGAGACCGTGGAGCATGTACAGAACTGGTGTGATGGACGTTCATTCCAGGGGAGGGGCAGTTTTTGGACCACCCCACATCTTCAGTACTGCAGATGACTGTGTTCTTCCTGTGTTCTAAGAAAACCACAAGGGCTATTTTCCAAGACTCTCATTTGCCCAGTCTCATTACCCTAGAGAATCTTACAGCATAACTCATCACCCAGCATGCCTGCAAATATTGCCCTTGGCTTGCCAGGTGTCAGGACCCGACATCCTCCCTGGGGTCCCCGTTTCTTACCATCTTCCTGGCCCTGTGCAGCCACACTCTGTCCCAGATGATTTGAAACTGGTGGATTCCTGCTCTGTGAAATGTGCCATCAGGTGAGCTGTACTCAAAAAATTAGTGGGCTATGCTGTATTTCTCATTAAGGCAGTGTGATTCTTAGAGAACAGAAGTACACCTGGAAGGGAAAGGTTAAAAGGAAGAAAGATCAGAAAGAAGAGATAGAGGAGTGGGAAAAATGGCCAAGGGGAGGGCAGAGATAAATGTGCAAAACTGGAGGAGTTTAAACGGGGAGCCTCATAATGTACAAGAAACCGTGGCCTCAACCCCAAAGGATACCATGAATGGAGGACCATGCACCTCCTCACATCACTGAATTTAGATCATCCTCTTAACATAATATGCTGAGGAACAGAGTATTATTCACTGGCCGTGAAGCTTGTTCTAAATTGATACCCTAGAGAAATTATTTCTAAGACACAGTAATGATGCAGATTTCATGCTTGAGGACACTCCTCACTGTAGATCTTATACTAGGTACTTAAAAATAATCTGTACACATGTGACCCATACTTAGACACTGCCCCTGTGTTTTTCCCTCCTGCTTTGCCATGAAGAAAAAAGGAAGGGAGGGGTGCGGAGGAACATGGGAAGGAGAAGTCTTATGAGCTTGTTTCTGAGAAGCTTCTTTCAAAACAACTAAGATGACTGAGTCACCCCTGCCTTTTCGAATGAGCCAATTGTTCAGAAATTTAGTCCCAGGGAAGAGAGGAACAAAGTCATGTGGTATTTCCCACACTTGACAATTGTTTGAGCCGCTTTTAAAGGATGAACACTTTGATGCTCTAAGAATGTGTTTAAATCACTACTGTGGCAAATCCTGTGTTTCTGGTCATTCAAGAAGATGGAGCTATGAGGGCTGGGGATCTAGCTCAGTGGCATAAGTGCTTGCCTGGCAAGCATAAGGTCGTGAGTTCGATCATCAATACCAAAAAAAAAAAAAAAAAAAAAAAAAAAAGGAAGACAGATATAGGCAAGGTCACAATATCAAAGACAGAGGACGGCCACATGGAACAGAACAGGACACACAGTTAGTGCACCCCATGGGCCCCTCCAGCCACTGTGTTAGAGAGAAATACAGTCCCAAAAGGAGTGAAAGCCAACTTTTCAAAGAATAGAAATCCAGATTTTTATAAATTTCTTGACTTTAAGATCTTGCAATCACTCTAAATCTCTGTCACATGTGTTGACAAAAAAGAATTCCTTTGAGGTCCACATGTGGTTGAGAGTGAAAACTTCCTTTAGGGTAACTTTGGTGCAGATGAGAATTGGAATGCAGAGCGAAGGTAGAAACTGGACCCATGAACGTGGTCGGTTGTGGAGGCTGTGTTAGTCACTGCCTAAATCATGAAGCTTTACTTGTCAGTTTAGGGCTCGGTGTGGGGAGGCAGGAATCCCTGCTCCAGGCCAACCTGGAGCTCCCAGCCTCTTCCATCCTGTGTCTCTCTTGTCCTGATTTGATTGTGAAGATTCCCATCCCATTAATCATAAGTATATTTCAACTCTTGAATAATTTGAGGCTTTTTCTGAGTTTTGTCAATTGACATATGCTTTTATTGGGCACTTACAATTCACTTTAAATTTTTTTTATCAATTTCGTAATTTGTGCTTCATTTTTCCAGTGTAGAATCCGTTTGTTTTTTATCACCAGGATATACCAGCAAGACTGTATTGAAACCCTCACCAGCCTCACCTGAATTAGACGTGGTAACATGGTAACCGCAAGCCTGCAGAACTGTGTCACTGGGGATAGAAGACTCAGCTTCTCTGCTGCCTTCACTCTGTGAGGGAAAGCACCACGCATAAAGGACAGGACCCACTGAAAGGGCGCAGGTATGAGCTAGAGACCAATGTGTGTCCTCAGTGCTCTTCTCCCTGTCTTCCAGGTGCACCTCTGGCCACACCTCCCCAGCCTCCATTTTGCAAGGGAAACGTTGGACTCAGTGCTGGCCCATGGCATGTGGACAGCATTCCCCTGTGCCCCTTCCTGATGTGGCTCCAAGCATTCTCCCATCCTCTTAAAACTGTCTTTTCTATTCTGTGGTCCAAGGCAAGGAAGCTGCCAATGCTTTTGGAGTCTTCTAGGCATTGAAGCCACAGCATGGGATGAGCCTAGGTGCCTAGGTGTGGAATGGAGTAGGAGTGGACTCTCCATTCACTAACAGCTGTGTTATCACTCTCAGATCTGCTTTAGCTAATCTAGATCTTAGTGACTAAAAGTGTAACATGTGACTTACACTGTAAGGCCCCCACAGAATTGGAAAAACATCTGGTGCCAGGGAGGCGGACCTCAAGATTAATCTTCAGGCTTCCTGAAGAGTGTGAGTGCTATGATTTTATTTTTTTAATTTTAAAGCTATTAAAGGAAAAGGAAACAAAACAATAAAAACAAAACCAAGAAGTGGGGTTGGTGTGAATTCCAAAATGCTTCTCGCCTTCAGTCCCAAAGAATGTTTCGGGAATATTTTGGCAATTGACCTTTCTCCACAATCAGTGCTTGCAGTTCACTTGTCCTACTGTTTTCTAGGTACTAATCACTCACCACTGTCTGTGCACTAGGAAATGTGACAGAGGTTGAAAAAACTACAAAATGTCACCCTTGCAACTGCTAACGTTCTCCAGTAGAAATTTCCACAATAGAAAAAACTGTTCCTGAATTTTGATTTTCTGACTGTTTCGTGTTTATCATGAGGAAAATTCAAGATGGGGGGATATTTTATTTGCTATCATAACTAGTCTGTTCCCATGGTGAAGGGCTGCCTCTCTCCATCATTCCCTGTGTGTTAATTCTATTGTTGACTTTCAATTAGACAGATGAGATCAAAGATAAAATAATTCAAGTGATACTGCATTGTCACTGTGCAAACAGGAATAGTCATTCACAGTAATAGCTACAGAGCATAAGTGTGCACTTAACCCATGTAAATGCTACTAGATCTGAGTCTCCGCTGCCTCTTTCCACATTGCAGGGAGATTCATATTCTGAATCTAGTTTATTCACTTGTAGTAAAAGCCAACACCCTCCCAGCAGGCAGTGACCACATTAGACTTCTGTAGACAAAGCACTGCAAAATCACAGTCTCCTTAGGACCAGTTCCTGTGGATGACTGTCACCATGGGGATGCAGCAGCTGTGTGGGGATAGTTCCTTTGTTGACTCTGGTGTGGGTTCCTATGGTCATACCTCTGAATATAGATGCCCATTTATGTGTTGCATTGTCTCTGCACTGTGTGAAATTCTTACTGCTTAAAGTGTGCAACTCAACCTCACAGCACCTTCATGCTCACTTCCTGAGAGAGGAGCACCTCACAACAGAAGTTACACAAGCTGTGGTTTTGCACAGGTGATGCTGACCCCTGGCTTCATGGTTGAAGCTGAGTTTGCATAACTGAACTTCAGTTGGTCTCCGTGACTGACGGAGGAGGACAACACATGACTCTGGTATTTAGTGTTGCCCTGACCATAGAGACTAGTTAAAGACTGCAAGTAGCCTGCACTGGGTTGGGCAGGGCAGTCACAGCCTTCCTGGCCTGGAGGAGGGACTTTCAGGCCTGGGTGGTCTAAGGAAGTCCAGAAACGTCAGCAGCATGAGCATCAAGGTGACAGGGAACGATGATGAAAGAGCCACAAGATACTGAGCCTGGCTTTGGCTGAAATGCTAGCTCTGCAGTGTCCATCTGTCTCAGTTGTACACAGGCTAACTGGCCATTTGGAATACATGACAAAGGCAAGAAAACACCCACCAAGCCTCAAAACAGGAAAGACATTCCTCACCCGCTGTCCAAGATCAGCCAGTGAGTGAATTTGTCTCCATGAGGATGAGGCCTTTCCCACTTTCAGGCTCCTGTGTGGTGTGATGACTCAGAATCTGTCTCTGGAGCCTCTGCAGTGAGCAGATAAACTGAGGAAAGGTAGGATCCGAAGGAAAGAGAAATGGGCTTGGTAAATCGACACCCATGGTGAAAACATCACGTATTTCCCCTCGGCTAGCAATTACTTTAACAATGAGGAATGGTGTCTAGGTATGGATTCTAGAGGAAGAGGAAGATGGTTTCCTAATCTTGAAGCCAGTTTATGCTCCAAGAGCATCACTGACATTTTGAGATGGTTGAAGAGAGGAGAGGAGACAGTGCAGGTCCTGTGTCTTCACCATAGCCCCTGTGACCACAGTGGCCAGGCAGCACATTCAGTGGCATCTCTGGGTCTTCCCATGAGGCACCAAGAGCATCTTTCCAATTGCACCAGGCAGATTTGGCTTCAGATGCAGCATTACCAAGCATCCTCAGAGGGCTCGGTTAAATCCTGGATGCAGGCAGCATTCTTCCTATTGCAGCTAGCATGGAACCTAGTAAAAACACTATTGGCATTCGGTGCGACAACCAGCTGTGGTAATTTTTAGGGTTGTTTGCAACACGGAATAGCACTTATCAATATTAAGTAACACTGCAAGTGGCAATTAAAATATACAGGGAATGCGTGCATTTAAAAATACAGTAAAGGAAACATCTCCACTAATCTCCCCTCAAAAAACAAAACTGTCACTCTGAACACATTGATCCTGTCCTTCTTGCCTATTTCTGAAGCAGTTCTGGAGGTTCTCTTTCGCGATTGTCCTTCTGAGACATGATCAAAAGTGTGCGGCTTGCTGCGGCTCAGTGCTCCTCAGTGGGAAGCCAGCACCACAGAAAGCCTCACTGTGTGTCCTCGTCTGCCTTATTCACAGTCTGGGAGCTTGAGACTCCCAGCTCATCCCCAGATCAAGGTGATCACAGAAGGTAAATATTTTGCATCCATTCACAGCATCAAGGCAGCCATGACAGCACAAATAAAGACATTCAGGAAAGAGGAGCTCAGAACCACTGCAGAAGCAGGACAAATGCTGGGGTGAACATGCTCCAAGTGAGGGCCCTGCTCTGAGGGGATTCATGGCAATGTGCCTTTCACTGTGACACTTTTTAATTAAATAATGGAAACATTCACTGTATTTCTCAGTCACACTTCACATGCCGACATCATTAATACCACACTGATGCCAAGTCCGAGGCTTCATGGGTAAGACAGGTCCTCACTGGGTAGGAAACAGCCATTAGACAGTCATGTATCCATTACATTTTTGGAAGTGACTTAACATCTTTTTCCCTAGAGACTGCTTAACACAGATGGTGAAATACGCTATTGCAAGGTAGATGGTCCATTGTCCAGTGTCTCCTTGTCTCCAAGTCTCTAAATCTTCTGGAGGATTAATGTGCAGAGGGATAATGTGTCATAGCAATAGACAGCAGGTGGGAGAAAAGAAACGCACATTTCAGTTTCCTAGAGCAACCAATGGCCCCGTCCACTGAGAGGTCGATAATGCACACTTCAAGTGTGTGTGCGTATTTCAGAACGGCTCTCTCTCCTCACCAGCAGCCCGTGGTCAAACAGAAGCAGCAGCATTGTTTATGTGAGACTTGCCCCCTGAAGCCAAGGACTGATATTCTAACAGCAGAGATGGGAAGATTTCTAGGACTCCTTCCAGCCTTGATGACTCCCAGCTATGCACTGAAGAGGGAATCAATCAGACCATCAGAGGAGCCCAACCTGTCTGAAAATCCCCAGTTCTGCATGCCCAAGGAAGTAATTTTCCTCAGAGAACACTCACCAGGCAAAGACCACTGCAACAAGATTCTTTGTGCTGCAGAAGCTCTTGGCAGTTCCTTCCAAGCCTCCACCAAAGCGAAGATCTTTTCAGGAATATCTTAATGAACTGCTCTGGTGCACACTTTAGGTATGTCTTCATCTTTTGGATGAAGTTTCACAGGGAAGTGCCGTGCGAGTCCACAGGGATGAACAGGAAATTCTCCTCAGTTCTCAGAGGAGGAAACCCTGAATATGGTGGGCTTTCCTCAGAAGAAGGCATACTTTTTTTTTTTTTTTTTTTTTTTTTTTTTTAATTAGCCTTAGCTCATCATCTTTGGCCTCAAAGCTCAAATATAGAAAATGGTGTTTTAAGTTCAGATGTCTTACTCTGCTTGATAATAACAATGACTCTTGGCCCATTAAATCTAGCTCAATTGCTCAGATATTATGTACCTTTTAATAACACTGTATCTGCTGAAATTTTCCAAATCCTCTATGTAGTCTTAGCCAAAAATCCCACTCACAGCTATTATTTGCTACCAGACTAGAACAGATGGTGATCTTGTCTTTACAGAGTTTGATGCTGGGAGGTGCGGAGTTGTGGAATTTTGGCGGGGCAGTTTTGTCCAAATACAAATGCTCATTTCTATCTCTTTCACTGAATTTCAAGATGTACAGTGATAAAAGCTTTTCCATCCACTTCTCTGTGTGAGGAAAGTTACTATTATTATTATTATTATTATTATTATTATTATTGCTCACTGTGTTGCTGTCCCCAAAGGGCCTAGACAGAATGGGAAATCCCAGGGGTGAGGAGGAGGATTAAGGCTTCTTCCTCCTCAGGAATCATAAGAGGTTACTATAGAAACCAGAGGCCCCATTTGTCTTCAGATTCTAGAACCTCCAGAGCTTAAAGAGCAGGTCCTAGCTGAGGGCTCGTTGGCCACCTCTCCATGGACACTCAGAAGTGAGTACAGCTCTGTTTACACCAGACCCTGAATCTGTGCTAAGACTCAGCTCAGGGTGGACTCCACATAGGAGAGAAGTCCAAACCGCATTACTTAGAATGTTTTGGTTCATTCTCATTCTCTCTGTCTCTCTCTCTCTCAAAGATACATTTTAAAATTTATTGTTAATTGATCAATTTTTATGATTGGTATATATTATTCACATCTACCTAAGAAGTATAGTGTTATGTTTATGTTGGATATTGGTGGTTATGTGTAGTTGATGTACCTGTCACCTTAAATTTATGTTACTATTTAGGGAGAATATATTCTACACCCTTTCTTTTATTTTGTGATATATGCTTTGTTACTTTTCTTGTTACTGAGACAAAATACCTGACACCCAAAATTAAGGAAAAAAAAGTTTGGTTAACCCACAGTTTGTGGAGGTTTTGGTCCATAATCAGCTAGTTCCAAGGCAGGGTGGCTCACGGCAGTGGGGCAACAGCTCACGGCGGCAGAAGACAGAAAATGTAACAAGAGCTGAGCCTCATTCTATCCCTTGTATCCCTAGGTCAGGCTACCTGACCTAGGGTAGTATAGCACTCACACCCATGAGCCCAGCATTAGACCATGAATCTATCACAAATTCAAGACCCAGCCACTGACTAAAAGCCAGCCCCTCCTGACTGTATGAAGCTTTGGGGGACATCTAGGAACAAACCATAACAATACACAATGAATTGTCAACTCCATTCACACCGCTGTGCATAGAAAGCAGAACTTCTGCTTTCACTGAACCCTAATGAAGTTCAATGTCACACTGTTGAGCAAGCTCTTCTCTGATTGCCCTACTCTGCTCAGGCTTTGACAACTCTTCAACTTCCTCCTTTTATGATAGCAACCTTGTTAGGTTCTATTTGGGAGTAAGGTGACAGCAGTGTCTTTCTATGCCTGGCTTGTTTCATTTAATGAGAAAGATTGAACTTCTGGATACATACAGAATTTCATGAACGACAAGAGTCCCTGCTTTTCACTGCTGAATGGTCCACCCTGTGGGTACGTGCTCCATGTCATCTGTTCTGCTCATCACTGAAAGGCATTAAGATCCACACCTTCACCATCAATAGATCAGCACATTCTTCACCTAACTAGGGAAACAGACCTGAAAATCCACCTGCAAAGGGCTCTGAGCAGCCATAGCATCTCAAGCAAACAGAGCAAAGCCCGCTGCATCAAGGCATCTGGCTTCAAGGGATCTCATAACCCAGGTAGTTTGGTGCTGAAGCAGGAGCAGGAATGGAGGCACGGAGCAGAGGAGAGGGCAGCAGCAACTCACATGGCTACAGGTGATGAATTCTGACACAGGGGCCAAGAGCACAGGGTGGGGACGGAGCAGGCCCCTCAGCAAGGGCACTGAGAAAGCTGAGTATCCTCAACCAGAAGAAAAAACATCTAGGTCCCGATTTCCTACCAGGTAGCAATATTACCTCAACCTGGGCACGGTGGCACGTGCTGTTAGCCCCAGCCCTCTTGAGGATGAGGCAGGAGGATCACGCTGAGTGTCCTGGGCTACATAGTGAGGTTAAGACCAGCCTGAATTACAGAGCGTGATCCTGTCTCAAAAAAAAAAAAATATTAACTCAAAATATATTAACAGCTGAAATGAAGAAACTGAAACTACTAGGAGAAAACACTGCGTAGATGGACATGTCAGCACACGCCTACACTCCAGCACCCTGGGAGGCTGAGGAAACTGGGTCTCAAATTTAATCCCAGCCAGGGAGACATAGAAACAGCCTGCGAAATTTAAGGGTTTAGCTTGGTGAGAAAGCTTTGGATTCAATCTCCAGTACCACTAACAAAAAAGAGAAGGAGAGAGACAGAGATGGAGACAGAGAGAGAGAGACAGAAAGATAGAGAGACACACATAGACAGAGACAGAGAGAGAAAAAGAAAAATGTAAGTAAAGACAGGAAAAAAGGAAGCAAAAAAGAAAGAAAAACACAGGATGTGGGTCTCAGCAAAGTGTTTTTCCATCTGAATCCAACACCATCAAGAAAATTTAGTATTTGGCAAGTGGGATTGCATAGAAAACAAACAGAGAGAAGAAACAGCGACAGAATGGGAGGAAATATTTGGAGACCACATATGTGAAAATGAGTTCATGTCCAAACAGGTAAGGAACTCAAACTCAATAGCAACCCCCCAAATCTATCTTAAACACTAGGCTAGAGCTTCGGGTCCAGGTTACTCAGGAAAAGACACACAAGTAACAATGGTCACATGAAATACCACCAAATATAACTAAATATCAGAGAGATGAAAATCAACCCAGTGCAGATGTGCTATGCAAAGACAAAGATAGGAGTGCAGAAAAAGAACTCTCCAAGCTTTTCCTAGGGAGGTGAGTTAGGGTGGTCTTTCTAGGGCTCCTTGACCACTGCTGCAGCTGTGACCTCATTTCTGTTCGGAGTCTCCCTGCTTAAAAACCATCCTGTAATCCGCTCAGCTGCTAGGTCCTGACCACACAGAAAAATGCTGCCTATGTCACTCACAGGTCAAAGTTCTCTCTAAAAATGAAAGACAATAAACCAAACAATCAAGGAAACAGAAACAGAAGGACATAAATCGGGTGATTAGAATTTTTCTAACATCTGTCATTTAATAAAAGTCATAATTTTGCCAACCCCAAAATAATATTCTTAATCTAGTGCTGCTTCCTAGCTCGACATTACATTTCACAGAAGACACTGTCACCTTTCCTACGAGAGTGACTCACTACTAAACCATAAAAAGTTATTTGAAAAATTCATATTATCATTTCTAAGCCATGGTTATGCATACAAGATGAAATTTATGTGACTTAACTGGATTTGTTAATGGTAATTTGAAAGTTAATTACAGCAAGATTGTGTTTGTAACCAACAGTGACTGTAATTGGCTGTCATGTTTACTTATGGCTGGAGACCTAAAGGACTTACCCTAGGAAATACCAACTCCTAGACAAGGAACCTGAGGGTAGGTCAGCTAGCTTCCTGTTCCTCTTGGCTCTATTTTTCCTATAAGACCAGGAAATCATATCTACATCACACAGAGTTAGTGGAATAAGGTGTTTCTCAAGGAAACCTCCCGCCCTTACCAGACCATCACCATCAAAGTGGATTTCCAAGGAACTGTCTTCCGCTTGCATGAAGACAAAATAAATCTACAGAATCCAAGAAGGCAGGGGAGGTGGGGAGCACAGCAAACTTCCCCAGGTACCTTAAGGCTTTCAGGCTCTCTTTTCTGAAAATCCATTCCTGTGTCTCTTTCCATTCCTATTTCTGTTCCATATGTCATGTTGCCTCTTATTAACACATCCTTCTGCTGACTTTCCACATCTGCTCTCCCTAGTCACTTACCCATGACTTCATCTTCTTCTCTGGACAGGAAGATGCTGCACAGAGAGCTGGGGCCACAAGTCTTCTGATGGCTTTGTGGCTTCTTCCTTGGCAGCAATGGTGGTCCCAGGTGAGCTGTGCAGGATGCTTATGGGCCAGGTCAATGGATGGCTAGGACTGCCCCCAACGCTCTGTCTGGGAGGTCCATGCTGCCTCTTTCTCCTGCTTGTAGAAAAGCCTGATAACAGCATGGATTTCTCCCTGTGGATCTGGCAGGTCCAGACTTAGAAACCTGCTTCTTCCCTTAGAGAAAGAGCACCATGTGCTTTGGAGGGTGTGGCTTGAGAAAGTGGTTTCTAGGCAACCATACACAAAAATGCTCCATTAATTCATAATAGTATTGAAGGTATCCATTTAACCTTATCAACAAGACTGGGAATCGAAAGAAACATAGCCATAGCTATCCAATCTGGCTTCAGAAAGTTCTGCTGATGAAAACGGACTGTGTGGTTCAAGGTCCAGTGGTACTTCTCATGGTGACAATGTGATCACCAACCACTGGATCACAACTCCATGCTGCCCATAGAAACAGGAGTGTGTGTAGTGTGGTTAATGTGAAGATTAATCTCACCCCAAGTATTTATTTAGAAGTTGCTATCTCCCAAACACTGCTTTCCATAGAGGTACAACACCGAAAATGATAGGAAGATGCCGCTCTCAAGCACATGTGTGTGTCAGCATGCTTCCTGTATTGGACTTGAGGTGGAAAATTGTTGTGATTCCTGACCTTTATACTTTCAGGATTTTTAAGGAACCTTTGACTTAGCAGTATGAGAAAGTGTTTCCAAAGGTCTTGCCTGCTTTGTCCAGGAAGTTTTGATTTTGTAAGTTTACTTATATTAGTTCTACATAAATAGGTTAATTGAAACGCATTTTAAATAGCATAAGATTTGCCCATTTCAATAGTAGAATTCAATGATTTTTTGTGGCTTTATGGAATAACGCAACCACTGACTGAAATTAGTTTTAGAACACACTCATGTTTGACCAAATCTCCTGTACTCCAAATCCAGGCTCGGGAGCCCAGGTCTAGGCAAACCCTGCCTCTCTGCCTTTACAAGTTTGCCTTTCCTGAACATCTCACATGACTCAGATCA